TTTTTCACAGTTGAATACATTCTTCCATGTGTTATATTTTTTGAAAAGTGTTAGTGTTCTGCAGATCAACTGTGCAGGCTCACTGTGCTGGAGAGACCTCTTCCTTAAATTTTATAGTTGCTAGGAAACCTATTCTGGACATAGGAGGAAGGATTATACAGTGGTTGGACCACTGGTCAAGGACATGGTGATAGGTTCAATTCCCTGCTTCTCCATGAATTTTCTGTATAACTTTGTACAAGTTACTTAGCATCTCTATGCTTTAGTTCCTCATCTGCAAATTGGGGAGAAGGTAAGGAAATGGGAATTCCCAGGATAAAAACCATCTGTTGTTTTTGGACATAGTTTGGACACAAAGTAGTATATACAATCCCTTTTCCACTAGCTCTCTCACCTACTAGTCTTTTCTCTCACTCGGTGCTTTCTGTTCTGTATTTTAGTATAGACCTTAAGTTATGTTAACAATCATATAGTATAAAAATTAAATAAAATTATATGAAATTTTGTCAGGATAGGTATTAGTGACTCAGAGCTATAATTTGTATTTGAAATCGGCATGGAGATTATTCTGTTTGTGTTTGAAATACCATTAGTCATTCTGCAGGATTTATCAAGCCTCATTTTGATATAGATTTTCCTTTACTGTCATCACTTGCTTTGTTGGGGTTTTTTTCTTGTTGCTGATGGTAACATCATACTATTAACCACTGAGCTCATTTCAGTTATAGTTTGTTTTGAAAACAATGCGTTTTTTTTTAAATGGACAGATGAGTGCTCAATAGAGTTTCTACTAGTTGCTCTGGATAGTAAAGGAAAATTTACTATTTACTATAAGTAAAGGGTACTTATGTCGTTGTTTATAGCCATAGACTAGTTTCTGACTGACATTGGCAAGTTTCTGGTATAGATTAATTGCCCTTATAATAGGTTTTTAGTAGAGATGTGAGATTTAGTTGTGAGGGAATAAAGAACCTTCCATTCCTATGTCCAACCTTAGTCTAGTTTAGGAAGCCAGTCAAAACCTTTCTTGGATTACAGGGAAGTACATTTAATGATTTCCGTCCCTTCCAAGAAGAACACACTCCCTCTTCTCCACCATCTATGTTTTTTTCTCTAGTACATCCTTATTCTCAATGGATGAACAACAGACATTGATATAATCAGAAAAATACAATAAGGTTGATTCACATGTACTTTCCTTTACTTGCAGCAGTAAGTTCTACATACCATATGGAGGTTAGCTGTATTCTAGCAAATAAATGTTGAATGAATGTGGAGTGGTTATAATCCCTTTTGCATCCTTGTTCTGATAATCATTTTTATAGTTCTTTTCTGTCATCACTATCATCTATTTCACACAATGCTATCTAAGTATATTCTGGTGGCATAACAGATCATAAAGGCATGTCACAAATACTTAAAAAAAACCAATGGTCCTGTAGCACTTTAGAGACTAACCAAATATTTAAATAGTATCACGAGATTTCATGGGCACAACCCACTTCTTTGGATGATAAATATGGAGCATGGGGCCCAAATTTTGAAATATAGAGCAGAAAAGAGGGGAGAGTAGGAGGAGAAAGAAAGGGGGGGAAAACCCTGTCAATTAAAGTATCTGTGCTATATGAGGCTAATATAGTAGGCTGTAAGTAGCTGATACATAGCCTTTGATGTCATTGAATATAATGGCCCATCCAGTTTATATCTTTGTTCAAGCTGAGCGAGAGACTATAAAATTTGCATATGAAGGCTAGCTCTGCAGCTTCTTTCTCTAGTTGATTACTGAAATTGTTTTGTAACAGAATAGCCCATTCCATAAAAATCCATTAATGAGTGCCCCAGCAAGTTAAAATGTTCCCCAACTGGTTTCTATGTATTATCATTTAGAATATCTGTTTTGTGTCCATTAATCCTTTGTTGTAGAGACTGTCCAGTTTGAATAATATGATGTCACAAATGCTGAAATGACTGTGATGACTGTGTGAATGCTAAGGCCTCTGAGTCATCCTATTATCATATGCCTGCAGGCAAGAGTTGTTAAAAAGTGGTTAATTAGGTAACCATATAACAGTTAAAAATCTTAGTAGTTACATGGTTACGCGCTGTGGGCTCTGTAGTATAATGCTTCTACTGCAGAGCCCCAGCAGAGCTGACTCCCGGGGAGTGGGGCTGGCAGCCAGTGTGCACTGAGAGTTGGCTCCCAGCTGCTGGCCCCACTCCTCTGGAGCAGGCTGTGCTGCAGGTTCTGCAGTAGAAGCTTTATACTGCAGAGCCTGCAGCACAGAGCGGCAGCTGGCTCCCTAGGAGCCGGTGCATGCTGGGAGCTGGCTTTTAAGCTCCTACCTGCTGTGCCCTTCCCAGGGAGCCAGCTGCCTGATACAGAGGCAGCAGCTCAGGGTGGCAGCCCAATTCTGCTGCTTTTTTAAGTCTTCTCCCACTCTTGGCTCCTGGCACTGCTCCCAGGGAGCCAGCTACTTCCTCATGCTGAGGAATCTCATTCAGAGCCAGAAGCGTGGGGAGGCAGCTAGCTCCCCAGGAGCGGGGCCAGAAACCAGCCTGTAACTGTTACGATAACTGATAAGCTCATGCTTATTGGTTAACCATTTCAATGGTTACACAGTTACATCCCTACTGCAGACTGAGGAAGTCAACTCCTTAACACAGTCAGCTTGACAACTACTTAGACAGTGTCCTCTGGGCTCCTTCAGCTCTGTCTTTGCCTTGCAGCTTGACAACAGATACAGCCAAGGAAGAAAATTTGGAGACTTCAGAAAAAACCCTACAGGAAGAAGTAAACAGTTGGTAAAGGGAAACCTTATCTTGAGGTTAACATCACAGGTTTGCTCTGGTATATTTAGAGGAACAAAGACACCCAGATAGTATTCAGATAGGAAGTAAATGCACAGTGAGTTTGCTTTAATAAAAATTATCTCTATCAAGCTTGGTGGAAAACACTATAGAGAAGTTTGGGTGAAATAAACATCTTTAGACCGAAGGATAGTTTTTTAGTTAAGTTTGGGAACACAGGATATGGGATTTCAGTGGGTATCCAATAAACAGATGCTAGATACCACAGGGGAACACTTTGAAGGGACCAGGTCCCAAATCTTGTGTTCCCAAAGGAACACTGCACCACAGTTTATAAGGTTTACCTTAAACCACTGTATGAGTCATACTCACAGAACTTGTCAGATTTAAAACAAAAGAAAATATATTTTTTTTAAAATAGAGATTCAAATAAAAATCACAATAGGAGATGGGAACAAAAGCTTATATGTAAAATAACATACCACAATGCATATTCTAAAGCCCAAACTTAACGAAGAGCAAACCTGCGATGTTAACCTCAAGATAAGATTTCCCTTTACTCACTGTTTACTTCTTCCTGTTAGGTTTTTTTCTGAGGTCTCCAAATTTTCTTCCTGAGCCCTTGTCTTAGAAAGCTAGCAGACACCTTTTGTAGAGCACAATGGGCACAATGGTCCCCGCCACCAAACCCTAGAGGCAAGTGTATTCCATCACGTTCTACTTTTGAGTGACCTGTTTTAAACTGCAACTTAGAGAACATAATCTTTAGTATATGTTCATAATTTCTTACATATTCTCTGTGCTTACATCTCACAATGATTATGACCACCAATGACTTTTATTACAGACATGACATTCTTTTGGTGAATCCAGGGATCTCTGTACACCAGAGCCCTCTAGTTGACATTCAGAGATTCTTGTGTCATGCAGACTTTAGACCCCTGTGAAGGAATGAGTTCTCTTCTATTAAGTCATTTGAGCTGCAACCTTGTAATAGAATTCAAGGTAGCACCTGTTGATGACTTATGCTGCAGGTGAGTACAGCTAGTGTCAAGTGGGATGTAATGAGCTAGGTCAAAGGTAATCTTGGAGAAAAAACCCTAACCCCCTCCCCCATTTTTGTAAATGAAACATAAGCTGAGATTCATGTTGCTTTGGGATAGCAATAAAGCAAAATTCTAGGGAGGAGGTAAATATGGACATAGGCTGTGCACTTATTGAAAGTGGGGTAGGGAGTTGGTCCATTAATAAGGTATTCAGAAAGAATCTCGTAAAAAGAGGAAGTTTCTGATTAGACACACAAACTATCCAGTGCTACCGTTTAAAAAATAGGGTTTTGATAAACCTTTTTAATTTTTGTGTTGGGAAAACTTGCTAGATTTAATTATTTTAACATAGCAGTCTGTGTTATCTGAAACTGGTAACAGTTTAGTCATGTGACCCTATGAAATCCCCCACTATCGAAACTTGAAAGAAGTAAAATTAACTAGATCTGTTTTTCTCTGCCTGGGGTGTGGGCAGGGAGTTAAGCAGAAATGCCACCCACCAGTCTCAATGGGTGGAAGGAGTTGATGGAACCAGTGACAAAAGGGGACTGGCAAGAAGGGAAGGAGAGAAACTTTGGGGACACCAGGTATTTCCCCTTTCCTTTCCCCTTTTAGAGGCTTTAATACCCATTTGTCAGCTGCGGGTCAGGGGGGAAGTAGATTGGCTCATATCCCCCAGCTCTAGAGATTTAATGTGAAGCATGAGCCATGGGATACCATTGGGTGAATTTTAAAGCAGGTGCCCAAAATCTTCACAGTACTGTGGTATCGTGGTACTTTTTCCCCATATCTGTTTTAAGGCCAGCCAGGATAATTTGCTTTACCAGAGATCGAAAGCTTTAACTATTTGAATTTTGCCTATTGTTAAGTCACTATGCCGGTATTTGGCTTTATTCCTACAAAAGGAAACAAGAAATATACTTCATTCGCAAGTAATGCAATCTGTGGAGTTTCAAAAAGTTGGTGGTTGTAATGGAAGTGGAGGATGAAGAAATACCATATTGTAAGTCATGGATTCTCCACTAATGACTCTGGCTAGATTACATTTGTCTTGAAAATGAAAGAACAACCTATCTCTGTCAGCCAGTTAAGGTTTTGTGTTGTAAAATATATATATATATATATTTTGTTTTGCCTTTTTTTCAGATTTCTGGGATGTGCTACAACAGTAGTGTGTTAAAAGTTCATCAGGTGCTTTGTGTTCCCAGTTGGCTGGCAAAGATATTTTCTTGGACTCTTGAACCAATATTCTCATCTGCAGAACCATCCAATGAGATTCGAGTAGGAATGGGAGCAACAGTGGACATCCAGAGACAGCAGAGAATGGAATTACTGGATCGTCAACTCATGATGTCTCAGTTTGCACAGATGAGACTGCAAAGACAACATCAGGTATAGATAAATTATTTATAAGGTGTATGATTATGGAAATATGGAGGGAAGGGGATTTTGGTTCATCACAATTTATGGATCCAGTTTAGGAACACACACAGTCTTATTTTAATTTTTTCCCTAATGGAATTATGTACAGTAATTGTATGTTATTTAATGTTAGTGAATATTTATGTAAGTTTTATGTGATCAGAGTTCATTTCCAAAAATGAACTAATATTCACAGAACTCCTATGGGTA